GTAAAAAACGCATGCAACCTGAGCACCCAATCTTTATATTGTTTTCCCAACAGCCACCTGTGTACAAATCAACAGCCACAAGACCGGCAGTAGTAAAGGCCAAAGAACTGCTAGGAACTTTGGAGTCTACGATTTTTATTAATAAACAATTTTTACATTTTTTTCTAAAATTTTCAGATATAAGGGTAGTAAAATCTTACGTCATCGTAAAGAGAAAAATTTGCCAATTAAAAAAATTAAAGAGTTATTCGTTGCTCGTTTGTTTTCTGAAATAGAAACAATTGAATGCTTTCTTATTATGGCAAATAAAATATTAAACAACTTTTGTATAAAATGTTTTTTTATGAAGTTGATATTTCCTAAGATATATACTATATTCCATACATAATGGGCACCCTGTATAATCAATGCCTATGATGATGCTGTTTTTATTTAGGTATACTCTAGTATATAACAAGTGGTAGAATGGCTGGCAACACAGTGAAAGTTTTCTACACCATATCAAACCCTTAATAAAACCTTGGAATCAGTCCATTATCTTCAATAGATCAGAACAGGTGAAACTAGCGAGATTACATATACATATAGAACGTACACAACTAACTTTCGGTTATTTGTTGAGACAATTACATAATATCTTATGCCTGGATGATGCATACGCGAATCCTATAAATTTGGTTGAATTTTTTAAGTCTATTGATTTGTTCCATCAATTATAAACACGGTGAGCGCCAAAGATCTTCGCTATCGAAGCCGTTCTGGTATCAATAATAATAATAATTTAACAAGCAACGATTAAGCTTCAATTTGGTATAAAAATCATTTAACAACTTTTTTGATTTTTTAAATTTTATCATTTTTTTCGCGATTCCACTAAATCCTCAAAAATATACCATTTCTTTAAAATTCTTTAGTGGAATCGATTTCAAATTGAAGCAACGAGTTATACATCATCTTAAAGAGAAAGGATTAAGCTTCAATTTGGTATAAAAATCATTTCTTCATCTTTAAAAATAAAACCTGCACGATTTTTTGAATTTTTTCATTTTTTTCACGATTCTACTAAACAATCAAAAACACATCATTTCTTTAAAATTCTTTAGTGGAATCGATTTCAAATTGAAGGAACGAGTTATACCTCATTTTAAAGAGGAAGGATTAAGCTTTAATTTGGAGCAAAAATCATTTTTTCATCTTTAAAAATAAGACATCCACAATTTTTTGAATTTTATTATTTTTTTTCGCGATTCTACTAGATCCTCAAAAACACATCGATTCTTTAAAATTCTTTAGTGGAATCGATTTCAAATTGAAGCAACCAGTTATATAGCATTTTAAAGAGAAAGGATGAAGCTTCAATTTGGTGCAAAAGTCATTTCATAGTCTTCAAAAATAAGACCACCACGATTTTTTTAATTTTATCATGTTTTTCGCGATTCTACTAAATCCTTAAAAACACATCATTTTTTTAAAATTCTTTAGTGGAATCGATTTCAAATTGAAGCAACGACTTATACTTCGTTTTAAAGAAAAAGGATTAAGCTTCAATTTGGTGCAAAAAAATATTTTTTCATCTTTAAAAATACGACCTCCACGATTTTTTGAATTTTATCATTCTTTTCGCGATTCTACGAAATCCTCAAAAACACATCACTTCTTTAAAATTCTTTAGTAGAATCGATTTCAAATTGAAGCAACAACTTATACATTATTTTAAAGAGAAAGGATTAAGCTTCAATTTGGTATAAAAATCATTTTAACATCTTTTTAGATTTTTCGAATTTTATCATTTTTTCGCGATTCCATCAAATCCTCAAAAACACCTAATTTTTTTAAAATTCTTTAGTGGAATCGATTTCAAATTGAAGCAATGTCTTATACATCATTTTAAAGAGAAAGGATTAAGCTTCAATTTGCTCTAAAAATCATTTCTTCATCTTTAAAAACAAAACCTACACGATTTATTGAATATTTTCATTTTTTTCACGATTCTACTAAACATTCAAAAACACATCTTTTCTTTAAAATTCTTTAGTGGAATCGATTTCAAATTGAAGCAACGAGTTATACATCATTTTAAAGAGAAAGGATTAAGCTTCAATTTGGTGCAAAAATCATTTCATCATCTTCAAAAATAAAACATCCACGATTTTTTGAATTTTATAACTTTTATCGCGATTCTACTAAATCCTCAAAAACACATCACTACTTTAAAATTCTTTAGTGGAATCGATTTTAAATTGAAGCAACGACTTATACATCATTTTAAAGAGAAAGGATTGAGCTTCAATTTGGTGCAAAAAACATTTTTTCATCTTTAAAAATAAGACCTCCACGATTTTTTAAATTTTATCATTTTTATCACGATTCTACCAAATCCTCAAAAACACATCATTCCTTTAAAATTCTTTAGTGAAACCGGTTTCATATTGAAACAATGTCTTATATATCATTTTAAAGAGAAAGAATTAAGCTTCAATTTGGTATAAAAATCATTTCTTCATCTTTAAAAATAAAACCTGCACGATTTTTAGAATTTTTTCATTTTTTTCACGATTCTACTAAACAATCAAAAACACATCATTTCTTTAAAATTCTTTAGTGGAATCGATTTCAAATTGAAGCAACGAGTTATATAACATTTTAAAAAGAAAGGATTAAACTTCAATTTGGTATAAAAATCATTTCATCATCTTCAAAAATAAGACCTCCACGATTTTTTGAATTTTATCATTTTTTTCGCGATTCTACTAAATCCTCAAAAACACATCATTACTTTAAAATTTTTTAGTGGAATCGATTTCAAATTGAAGCAACGAGTTATACCTCATTTTAAAGAGGAAGGATTAAGCTTCAATTTGGTACAAAAATCATTTCATCATCTTCAAAAATAAGACCTCCACGATTTTTTAAATTTTATCATTTTTTTCGCGAATCTACTAGATCCTCAAAAACACAACGTTCCTTTAAAATTCTTTAGTGGAATCGATTTCAAATTGAAGCAACGAGTTATACCTCATTTTAAAGAGAAAGGATTAAGCTTCAATTTGGTGCAAAAATTATTTTTTCATCTTCAAAAATTAGACCTCCACGATTTTTGGAATTTTATCATTTTTTTCGCGATTCCACTAAAACTTCAAAAACACATCATTTCTTTAAAATTCTTTAGTGGAATCGATTTCAAATTGAAGTAACGACTTATACATCATTTTAAAGAGAAAGGATTAAGCTTTAATTTGGTGTAAAAACCATTTTTTCATCTTTAAAAATAAGACCTCCACAATTTTTTGAATATTATCATTTTTTTCGCAATTCTACTAAATCCTCAGAAACACATCACTTCTTTAAAATCCATTAGTGGAATCGATTTCAAATTGAAGCAACGAATTATATAGCATTTTAAAGAGAAAGGATTAAGCTTCAATTTGGTGTAAAAATCATTTCATAATCTACAAGAATAAGATCTCCACGATTTCTTGAATTTTATCATTTTTTTCGCGATTCTACAGAATCCTCAAAAATATATCATTTCTTTAAAATTCTTTAGTGGAATCGATTTCAAATTGAAGCAACGAGATATATATTATTTTAAAGAAGAACGATTAAGCTTCAATTTGGTATAAAAATCATTTTATCATCTTTTTTAATTTTTTAAATTTTATCATTTTTTTCGCGTTTCCTCTAAATCCTCAAAAACACATCATTTCTTTAAAATTCTTTAATGGAATTGATTTCAAATTAAAACAACGAGTTATACATCATTTTAAAGTGGAAGGATTAAGCTTCAATTTGGTGCAAAAGTCATGTCATAACCTTCAAAAATAAGACCTCCACGATTTTTTGAATTTTATCATTTTTTTTACGATTCAAATTGAAGCAACGAGTTATACATCATTTTAACAAGAAACGATTAATCATCTTCAAAAATAAAACCTCCACGATTTTTTGAATTTTATCACCTTTTTCGCGATTTTACTAAACAATCAAAAACACTTCATTTCTTTAAAATTCTTTAGTGGAATCGATTTTAAATTGAAGCAACGACTTATACACCATTTTAAAGAGGAAGGATTAAACTGCAATTTGATATAAAAATCATTGCATCATCTTCAAAAATAAGACCTCCACGATTGATTGAACTTCATCATTTTTTTCGCGATTCTACTAAATCCTCAAAAACACATCATTTCTTTAAAATTCTTTAGTGGAATCGATTTCAAATTGAAGCAACGAGTTATACATCATCTTAAAGAGAAAGGATTAAGCTTCAATTTGGTACAAAAATCATTTCATCATCTTCAAAAATAAAACATCCACGATTTTTTGAATTTTATCATTTTTTTCGCGAATCTACAAAATCCTCAAAAACACATCATTACTTTAAAATTCTTTAGTGGAATCGATTTCAAATTGAAGCAATGTCTTATACATCATTTTAAAGACAAAGGATTAAGCTTCAATTTGGTATAAAAATCATTTCGTCATCTTCAAAAATAAGACCTCCACGATTTTTTGAATTTTTTCATTTTTTTCACAATTCTACTAAACAATCAAAAACACATGATTCCTTTAAAATTCTTTAGTGGAATCGATTTCAAATTGAAGCAATGTCTTATACATCATTTTAAAGAGAAAGGATTATGCTTCAATTTGGTATAAAAATCATTTCTTCATCTTTAAAAATAAAACCTTCACGATTTTTTGAATTTTTTCATTTTTTTCACAATTCTACTAAACAAAACACATCATTTCTTTAAAATTCTTTAGTGGAATCGATTTCAAATTGAAGCAACGAGTTATATAGCATTTTAAAGAGGAACGATTAAGCTTCAACTTGGTACAAAAATCATTTCATAATCTTCAAAAATAAGACTTCCACGATTTATTGAATTTTATCATTTTTTTCACGATTCCACTAAATATTCAAAAACACATCATTTCTTTAAAATTCTTTAGTGGAATCGATTTCAAATTGAAGCAACGACTTATACAACATTTTGAAAGAAGAATTTAATAATTTGAGAAATACTCGAAATACTTATCGCAATAAGGCGTATTAACCGGGATAATTTCCCCAACATTCGCCATCAAATCCACCAAAAAATCCACCGAAATCACCGCCTCCGAGCACGTCCTCGGGTTGGATTTAATCACGGTAAACCCATTCCACAACACCCCATTTTTGTGTCGATTCAAAGTCACCGGAACCCCAACTTGGTCGCAAATAACCTTAAAAAGGAGAGCTCGTTCTCGCGATAATCCCATTCTCAAATACCCGATTGGAATAAAATTACTTTTTAGCACATCTTTTAAATGAATTAAATGCATTTTTAGCGAATGCCTCTTATTCGGCTCGTTCCGATTAAAATCATTCAAACTTTCAACGACGTATTTAGCAATGTAAGAAATTTTTTCTTGCTTTTTAACTTTTTGGAGCTTCCCAAAGTTTAATTCTTGGTAAATTTCGCGGATGTAATCCCCCAATTTAACATCTTCGCATTTTTTTCGATGCTTATTTTGGTTCGAGATGTGCTCAATCGGTTCCTTGTTTAACTCTTGTACGAATTTGAACGCTAAAAACGAAGGGACGATGCTTAAACAGCGCGTTGTTGAGGTCTCTTTTTCATTTTCAGTCTTCGTTTGTGGTTTTTTCTCTTTATCGTTTCGCAACAACTTTAATTTGGCCGATTTGAACTTTAAAATCGAGCCGAATTGGACGTAATAAATGGGTTGATCGGTGGTTAATTCGTTTATTTCGACGTGTTTCTCGTTTCTTAGTAAATCATCGGGCATTAAATAGAATTGGTCCCTAATTTTATCGCTCACGCTTAAATGGTCGGTGTAAAAGAACTTGATCGTTAAGCACATGTCGTAGAGGGTGTCCAAAATCTCTTCGCAAAGCACCGTTTTTGATTTTAAGTTTTCATTGAGCTCGATTAATCTCCCAATTAATCCTTTATCCACGAAATAATACGCGGATTTTTTGAATTTAACAAAAAATTTGATTACCAACAATAACCCATAAATAACCGTGTAACTAGTCGAAGATAACAGGTTAAAAATTAACTTTAATCCTCCTTTAGCAAGGAAATAATCGCGATATTCCCCAAAATTAACAAGTTCTTGCACGATTTTTAGCGCCCTCTCAACGACGTATTCTTTATCGGAGCAAAATAATCTCGTTGTGACATCGTAAAAAGAAATGTATTGGAGCTTTTTAACGAATCTAGAGCGCACTATGAACTGGATGATCTCCAAAAATGTGTCAAAACCGCTTTGGGTTAATTCGCTTAAATTCGCATAAACATAAAAAGACTCCAATAAATCCTCCTAAAACACGAAAAATAAATTAATTTGAAACAAAATTAATTTAAGAATTTACCAATCCTTCAGTGGTGCAAATCACCTCAACGGTTAACGGGTTACATTTAAAAAATCGGTGTAAAGTTTTTAAAACTAACTCGCCGTAAGGGACCGCGGAAATCGAGGGGTTCTTAATCATTTTGATTAGGCCGTTTAAAACGGCGGGGTTGGTCATTTTGAAGCACATATACATGTGTCTCGATAAATTTTCGATCGATTCTAAGAGATTGGGAAGGGTGCTTTCTTGGTAGTTTTCGATGAAGGTCTCCAAAATTACGTCTAATCCGAAATCAAAAAAAACCTGAAAAAAAAATTATGTTGCATATTCTAATTGAATTAGAACTAACAATAGACCTAGAACTACGAGCCCTAACAACTATATATTGGGACGATATATATTTAGAACGATATAGATGTGTATTTTAGCAATTGTAGATTCAATATTCATCGTTCAATATTTATACAACTATTAAAACTCTAGGTTAACGATGAAGCTATGTTTTATTAAAATTTATTTCGGTGCAACAAGTTTCATCAGGCACGACTGAAAGTACATTGTGTATAAGTAATTAATTAATTAAACGGAAAATATACAATTAAGTTACCGTCAAATTAAAAGAGTTGGAATTTGTAAAACCACATATGCAATGGGATTGAAAACTGGAGAATTAACAAATATTACAAAACCATCACAAAAAATTCGAACAAGTAAGTGGAATTGTAAGTTTTGTTTCAACAATTTTTTTCTTAATATTTTTCCAATCCAACCCAACAATTATTATACATCATTTTAAAGAGAAAACTTTTAGCTTTAATTTAAAACAAGTTTCATTCTTTAATTTCAATAAAAATGGCTTCCAAGAATTTTTAAATTAGCATCTTTTTTGACACTTTTAGGTTATTCGAAAATGTAAGTTTTGTTTCAACATTTTTTTTCTCTATATTTTTCCAATCCAACTCAACAATTATTATACATCATTTTAAAGAGAAAGCTTTGAGCTTTAATTTGAAATAAGTTTCATTCCTTAATTTCAATAAATACGGCTTCCAGGAATTTTCAAATTAGCATCTTTTTTGACACTTTTAGGTTATTCGAAAATGTAAGTTTTGATTCAACATTTTTTTTCTCTATATTTTTCCTTTCCAACCCAATAATTATTATACATCATTTTAAAGATAAAGCTTTGAGCTTTAATTTAAAACAAGTTTCATTCTTTAATTTCAATAAAAATGGCTTCCAAGAATTTTTAAATTAGCATCTTTTTTGACACTTTTAGGTTATACGAAAATGTAAGTTTTATTTCAACGTTTTTTTTCTCTATATTTTTCCAATCCAACCCAACAATTATTATACATCATTTTAAAGAGAAAGCTTTGAGCTTTAATTTAGAATAAGTCTCATTCCTTAATTTCAATAAATACGGCTTCCAGGAATTTTTAAATTAGCATCTTTTTTGACACTTTTAGGTTATACGAAAATGTAAGTTTTGTTTCAACATTTTTTTTCTCAATATTTTTCCAATCCAACCCAACAATTATTATACATCATTTTAAAGAGAAAGCTTTGAGCTTTAATTTAGAATAAGTCTCATTCCTTAATTTCAATAACTACGGTTTCCAGGAATTTGTAAATTAGCATCTTTTTTGACACTATTAGGTTATATGAAAATGTATGTTTTATTTTAACATTTTTTTTTAATATTGTTCCAATCTAGCCCAATAATTATTATACATCATTTTAAAGAGAAAGCTTTGAGCTTTAATCTAAAATAAGTTTCATTCCTTAATTTCAATAAATAGGGCTTCCAGGATTTTTTAAATTAGCATCTTCTTTGACACTCTTACATTATACGAAAACGTTAGTTTTATTTCAACTTTTTTTTTCTCAATATTTTTCCAATCCAACCCAACAATTATCATACATCATTTTAAAGAGAAAGCTTTGAGCTTTAATTTAGAAGAAGAAGAAAAACAAATTTTATTCTGTACC